CACCTATATTCCTAGTTAATCAGGAGGCTAGGATCTGGAGGATTTCTGCTTAAAGCCATCTTGGACAGGTAAGTCCATGAGACTTTTATCTCTACGTGCCCACCAAAAAATTGGAAGTGGACCTGTGGCTTAAGTTGGTAAGTGCTAGCCTTAAGCAAAAGAAAACAACAACAACAACAACAACAAACACCTCAGGAATAGGGCCCAGGCACTGTGTTTACATCTCCAAAATAACAAGCAAAAAGCTGGGCTGACAGGGTGCCTGGCTAAACAAGTCAGCCGAATAAGTATGAAGCCTTGAGTTAAGTTTTTAAGAGGGTAGATTTATAGTTTTGGAATATAGTTCAATGATAGAGTGCTTGCCTATCTTGCAAGAGGTACTTGGTTAGATCCCTAACATGAGGCCTGGGAGTAATTGAGCAGTTCTATGTGTGCTAGGTGGGGTGCAAATTGTGCTTTTCAGGAAGTATTCTTTGCTTTCTTGTGGTTTTTTTTTATTTTGTAGTACTAGAGTTTAAACTCAGCATCTTACACTTACTAAGCAGGTGCTCTATCATTTAACTACTCCAGTACATTCCTGTTTTGGGGGGGTTGTTTTTTGTTTTTTGGTGGGTAGTGCAGCTTGAACTCTGGGCCTGGGCACTGTCCCTTAGCTCTTCAGCTCAAGGCTAGTACTCTACCACTTGAGCCATAGCGCCACTTCCAGTTTTCTGGTGATTAATTGGAGATAAGAATCTCACAGACATTCCTGCCCAGGCTGGCTTAGAACCTCGATCCTCAGATCTCAGCCTCCTCAGTAGCTAAGATTACAGGCGTGAGCCACCAGCACCCGGCTCCTGTTTGTTTTTGATCTTCACAAAAATCTAATGAACTACATTCTAGTATTATCCCCTGTTTTATAGATGAGAGAAATAGACACTGAAAGATGAAGTTATTTATTCTATGTCACACCACTGGTAAATTGAGGAGATAGAATTTGAAAGTAGGTCTTTCCATTGCTCAGGTAAAGCTTTTAAAACAGCGCAGTATGGGGTTGTGTTTAGAAGTAGCTATTTGAAGTAACAAGGGCTCTCAAGTATATTTCTTTCTTTATGAGGAGACACTCTTTATTTTTTTTTGGAAGGTTAGTGACTATAAAGTTGCTAAAATCACCTAGAATAATTGGCAATACATGGGATTACATTTTACTCCTTATTTCTAATGTCCAAACGTTTGTCTTATTTATGAAATCATAAGAAAGGTACCAAAGTCTTGAATGAAGGTTAGCTTTTACAGCAAAATAAAGAACTTTGTTAAGTCTTTAGGCAGTTTAATCTGAGAGCCACTGATGAAAGAATAGCTTCCTGTGATTATAGAAATACCTGGTTTGTTAAGAGTAAAAGCAGAATCGGGCTGGGAAGGTGGCTCAGTGGTAGAGCGCTTGCCTTGCATGCATGAGGCCCTGGGTTCAATTCCTCAGCACCACATAAGCAGAGGGGGAAAAAAGCCGGAAGTGGTGCCATGGCTCAAGTGGTAGAGTGCTAGCCTTGAGCTGAAGAGCTGAGGGACAGCGCCCAGGCCCAGAGTTCAGGCCCCACGACCAGACCCAAAAAAAAAAAGGCAGAATCATTTTTATTACCTTGCTATTGGCATTTTTGTGCTTTAACCAGCAAAGATTTTAACACAGAACTCAGGTCCATTTCCACCTTTTAAAAGATGAGAAAATACATAAACAAAAACAAAGTGATTTTGGTTGTTGGGATGAGTAAGTGGCATTTGGTCAAGCTTATAAACTCACATATTTGTTAGCCCTCTAAACTACACCACATTTCACGAGTTTTGCTTTGCTCTGATGCAAACAAATACCTTACACAAAAAGCATCCCTGAAGTCCCCAAGGCTTGTGTTCAACAAAGTTCTTCTCAATCATTTTAAGTCTATTTCATAGACAGTGGGCATTTATGCTAGACAACCTCCAGCTGCACATCCCAGCTTGTTGTTTATTGGTTTTAGCTCTTTCCTTATAAACAGATGACTACATGTTCTTTTTTTGGCCAGTCCTGGGGCTTGAATTCAGCACCTGGATAATGTCCCTGAGGTTTTGTTGTTGTTTTGTTTTGCTTAAGGCTAGCACCCTACCACTTCTGGCTTTTTGGTGGTTAATCAGGAATAAGAATCTCACAGACTTTCCTGCGTAGGCTGGTTTCGAGCATCTATCCTCAGATCTCAACCTCCTTAGCAGCTATGCTTACAGGCATGGGCCCAACTTACATGTTATTCTTGAAATACACTGATTTCTGCTGTGTATTCAGGTACCATTTGTAAAAAAGGTCTGCATATAGAACTTAATATTGATAAAAAGAGGCAAACTACCTTTAAATAGCGGATTATCCAAATTTTCTATATCTTGCACTTGAATGTGTAAGCAGAGATGCATTCTAGAGTAACATGGATCTCCCTGCCAGATTGGAGTCATCTCAGGCAAATAACCAAAGATCCAACACGTTTCAAAGCATATTTTTCTTCAGTGTATTAGAAATTTCTGTTGTTTCTCCAAGTGTCCTCCAACTTCAAACTTGGATATGTTCATTGTCTCAATTTATCCAATCCATCAACAAATTCAATTGAATCTGCCTTCAAAATACATTGAATCCCAGTTATTTCCCTCTACCTTACAGCTGCCTCTCTAGTCCAAAAGATTCTTTTGTGTTTTGTGGGAAGTTGAAATATAAGTAATCTCTTAGTTGCCCTCCTTAGGATCACTCCTGTCCCCTTGAGTTTGTTCTCACAGCAGAGGTCTTTTCATGCTTACATGTATCTCATGCCTCTGATTGTCCCTATCTGCTCTCATCCTCCACACTTTTGTTACTTGGTTGATCTAGTCTCCATATCTTATTAGTCAAAGCCCAGAGTCAGCAGAGAGACCATAAAGTCCATTCCTGGTGGGAAGAGCTACACTTGTGTAGAGAAGGAGCTAGAATTGTTTGGAGACACTTCTAAAAGTTATTTACCATTACTGATTGACCTGGACAACACAACTCGGATTATGTCTTGTTCACTCAATTCCAGTCACACAAGGCACACAAGGACCTCTGCTGTCAAAATTCCCCTCACTGCCAGGTAAGCATGCTCACACCTGCAATCCTAGATCCTCAGGATGGCTGAAATCTGAAGATCATGGTTTGAAGCCAGCCTGGGCAGAACAATTATGAAACTTTATCTCAAATTAAACAACGAAAAAACAAGAAGTGGTGCTGTGGCTCAAGTGATAGAGTTACAGCCTTGAACAAAAAGCCAATCGAGAGCCTGAGACCCTGAGTTCTACAGGTAGAAAGTCTGGCCCAGCTTAGCTGTGTTTGTTGCTCAGGGTATCACAAGTCTTAAATCACTATGTTGGCCAGTCTAATTCTTATGTGGAACCTCCTAAATCCTCTCAGGTCATTTAGCTCCAAGAATCTGATCATATTCCTCTTACCCACATGTCCTATCCCCTTCCTCTTCTACACCATTGAAGTGTGGAGGGAAAAAAACCTCTCTAGTTTAAAGACCTCATGTAATTAGGTCAGACCCACCTAAGTAATCCTAACCCTCCCCCTTCTCCCCCATCCCCCCTACAAGCCTTTTTTCTTTTTCTTTTTTCGTTTTAGAGACTGTATACATCGCCCAGGCTAGCCTTAAACTTCCAACCCACTTCCCTTAGCCTCTTGCGTGCTTGGACAGGCCCACACACCACTATGCCATATTTAGTATTCTATCATAAAGTTAACTGTTTTGAAGCCCTTACTTTAACCACAATAGTACCTACATTAGTGTTTGTTTGAATGATTGAGGGGAACCACATGTATGATGGAAATCTTGGGGAGACCATCTTAGAATGCCTACCATGATAACATACACTTCATAGCACTATCTAGATTATATTTGCTAATTACTTGTTTATGTCTTGGGGGGGGGTGGGGGTGGGGGGGCAGTCCTGGGTCTTGAACTGAGGATCCTGGGCACTGTCCCTGAGCCTCCACTTGAACCACAGCACCACTTCCTGCTTTTTCTGAGTAGTTTATTGAAGAGTCTTACAGACTTTCCTGCCTGGACTGGCTTCAAACCAGGATCCACAGATCTTAGCCTCCGGAGTAGCTAGTATTACCGGTGTGAGTCATTGGCACCCAGGTTGTTTATGTTTTAGTAGAATATCCAAATGATAAGAGGCTTTTGGTTTTGCTCATTGTTATTCCTAGCAACAGGGATAATATTTGACACATTGTAGATTCTTGGTAAATATTTATTGAGTGAATCAGTTAATAACTATGGCTTGTAATTTTGATGGCTATGAAAGTGGATTTTTAAAAAAGAGTTATTTAAGCTTTACTTTCCAAGGTGGCATAGTCTCAAAATAATCATTGGCCTTCTTTGCATGGAGGACTTATTTGACTATTAAAAATAAGTTGTAAGCAAGTAGTTTTATAAATATCCAGTAATTGCTATAAACAAAGCAAATTAGCTTTTTTTTTTTTTTTTTTTTTTTGGTCCGGTCATGGGGCCTGAACTCTGGGCCTGGGCACTGTCCCTCAGCTCAAGGCTAGCGCTCTACCACTTGAGCCACAGCACCACTTCCGGCTTTTTTTTTTCTTTTAGCTTATGTGGTGCTGAGGAATCGAACCTAGGGCCTCAGGCATGCAAGGCAAGTACTCTACCACTAAGCCACCTTCCCAGCCCCGCAGATTGGCTTTTTTGCTTACTAGTAATAATAATATGGTTTTGGCTTTCAGTTTTCATCTGTGTAGAATAAGAATGCTTTCTTGTGAACTTTTGGAAATGGATGTTTAGTTTTTCTGCAGTGTACATTACTTTGGTATTTCTGAGGCTTTCCATGTAATTGTGATTCACAATGTCCAGTTACTGGAAAATAACAGAGTGGGCAAAATGATAAAGACACAACTTAATACATCAGGCCAGAAAATTACATATATTTCCTTCATTTTTAATAGTCACTATTGTGCATTTCTTCAATCCTTCTTTCCACAGACAAAACTTGCCAATGGCACTTCCAGCATGATTGTGCCCAAGCAGCGGAAACTCTCAGCAAGCTATGAGAAGGAAAAGGAACTGTGTGTCAAATATTTTGAGCAGTGGTCAGAGTCTGATCAAGTGGAATTTGTGGAACATCTTATATCCCAAATGTGTCATTACCAACATGGGCACATCAACTCATACCTTAAACCTATGTTGCAGAGGGACTTCATAACTGCTCTGCCAGGTATGTGTAGATGTATCTATAAATCAATTTGCTAGAGTGGTAATGCTATTGGGTCTTCAGCCTTATATTCCTCTTATGAAAGTCTTTATTAGCTTGACTTTTACATATTAAGTGTTTTAATTGCACCTTGTTCATAAAAGTATAAGAAAAATCAAATTTAAAAAACAAAGATATCCCCCCTTTACCCATCTTTTCCCTTTTGATTGTTGTTTCCTGATTATAGAAGTTATTGGAAATTTAGAAGAAACAAATTATAAACTATAAAAATAGGGGCTGGGAAGGTGGCTCAGTGGTAGAACACTTGCCTTGCATGCATGAGGCCCTGGGTTCGATTCCTCAGCACCACATAAGCAAAAAGCTGGAAGTGGCGCTGTGGCTCAAGTGGTAGAGTGCTAACCTTGAGCTGAAGAGCTGAGGGACAGAGTTCCCCACCCCAAGAACTACTAATATTAATTAGTAGTTTGGCATATAGCCCTTTTGTTCAGGTATGGGTGTGTATATACACAGAGATGTATGTGTATACATATGTGTGTGTGTGTGTGTGTGTATATATATATATATTTCCCTACAAAGCTATGATATGTTTTTAACCTTTTTTCCTTTCTTCCCCGCCCCCTTCCTTTTCTTAATGTATTCTCTTAATGTGTTTTCTTTTGCCAGTCCTGGGGCTTGAGCTCAGGGCCTGGACATTGTTCCTGAGTTGCTTTTGCTCAAGGCTAGCATCTAACACTTGAGGCACAGTGCCACTTCCAGCTTTTTCTGTTTTGTGGTACTGAGGAATGGAACCAGGGCTTCATGCATGCTAGCCAAGCACACTACCACTAAGCCACATTCCCAGTCCTGTCTTTTCATTAAATATATTAACATGCTTTTCCTAAGTATGCTCTTTTTAAACTTCTTAAAATTTTATCTAGATTTTTTTTTAGCTCCCTTAATATTCCCCCAGTGGTTTAAAACTCATATTATTTAACCCCTTTATTGAATATTTTAAGTAGTTTTGTGAGTTTTTTTTCCTATTATAAACTATGCCATGGAGGATAGTCGTATGTATTAGTCTTGCAAATATCTTACTGAGAGAAATACCTGAAGGGAAATTACTGTATTAAAGAGTATGAATCCTTCAGCCTACCTACTCTTCTCTCCCTCCCCTCTCTCCTTCCTTTCCCAGTCCTCTCTTCTGTCTTTTCTTCAGTCGTGGGGATTAAACGCAGAACCTTGCACATACTAGACAATTGCTATATCACAGATCTGTTCCCCCCAGCCCAAGAGTTAGAACATTTTGGGACTTTCAGTACATGCTGACTATCTGCTAAAAAGGATACCAATTTAATAGCCTCCTCAAAACTGCATACTGTGACTTCTAATAGTTGCTCGTTACACCTTTAAAAATTTTTATTTTCCTAAACTTGGAATTTAAATTGTCCTTGAAAATTAAAGAAATGCTTATTTATATCTTAGAACCATTTTAAAACTGAAGTTTACCTGTATCTTTTGTTAATAGAATAGATTTTGCCCTCTTATAATACATTGGATTTTGTTTTAGCCACAGGCAGTTTTCTTTGTACAGACAATCTGACTGTACCTATTACTGTGTTCTCCCCAATCACTGAGACATGCTACTATCTCAAGTTTATACCACTAAGAATTGAACAGGACTTGATTAGACCAGTGTATTTTGCCTAATACTGATCCCTAGCGTGTATTTGCTGACCACTCTTATGAGGTATTAAATCATGTCTAATGCTTTGTGGCCATTTACACTTCTAAACCTCCACCATCTGGCTACATTTAGTAAACCAAACTACTTCAAAAAAATGCCTGTAATGCATTAATGTAATGGTTTTGTTTCAAGTGTTAGGTGAAATTACTTCCAACAACTTATTACAGGTACATAGTAAATGATCAGAGCAATTTGATGGCAGCCATTAAAAATATTGGACTGCCTTTGGAAACTTCTGATGGTGTAGGAAGTTTCAATAGATTCAGGAATTGTACCATAATTGTATTTTGCATGAAGAACTAATTATTATATTTTTAATTGGCTTCTAGTCATGTTCCTTTAATAAGAATTAGGTGATTGATGCCTCCATCTGTTAATGCCTAAACATGAACATGTGATGCAAGCCAAACAAGATCCATTTCTTTTCCCTGTCTGCTGGAGAATGTGACAGATAGCCATATAATTTTTATAATTAGAATTATGCTTAATAAACATATTTGTGTTGTTACTAATAGCATGCAAGTGTCTCTTTGTATAATTCAGGAGAAAAGCACAAAGTCAATTTTTTTTTTCTTTTGTCAGCCGTGGGGCTTGAACTCTGGGCCTGGGCACTGTCCCTCAGCTCTCCAGGACAAGGCTAGTGCTCTACCCCTTGAGCCACAGCACCAGTTTCAGTGCAGGGTCTCATGCATGCAAGGCAAACACTGTACCGCTGAGCCACCTTCCCAGCCCCAGGAAATCCTTTTGTACTTGACAAAAAGTGTTAAGTTTTCCTCATAGAGGAAAAACTTCAGATATTTTTGTCTCCCTTACTTGTAAACTTAGAGCAGCAGCCAAAAAAAAATATGCTTATTAGTGTAGTTATCCTATCTTACAAGGGGTGTCCTTTCCATCAAGGCCTTAGAATAGATTTGAGTAGTGAAGAACTTTAATTAGGAAGAACTTCACTTTATACAGCTCAAGATCTAATTGCCAGTGTTTTCCTTTGCACATCCTACACAATACTCTCTGAAATGCTTAGCCAAGTTATCTATTGATGTAGAATTTTTTTTTCATTTTGGTCACCTGTCATTTAGATTTTGTAATAGTAGTAATTCTCAAATATAGTTTCTTTTAACATGAAGTTAAAATCCTTGAATTTAAAAGATACCTCTATGTCTTTCCTCTCAGGGTTTTTCTTTACTAGTCTGCATTTCCTCCTTCTCTCCTTTCTACATGTCCAAAATTCTATAACCCAGCACATTCTGACTTAGTGTTTCTCCCTCAGTACATTTCAAGGATATTTCTTTTACTGAATAGCTTTGGAACTGCAGCAGTAATAGGAACAGAATGAGAAATGGACCTAATATCAAGATTTGGGGGAGTCTGAATCACAGAGTTTGAGATGCCATCCATAGAACATCCCCTAGTGCTGAAATCCATATAGATAGATGTGAATTGTTTCCTGGAATCCTTTTTATTTTTAATGTCTTGGGGGTTTTGCTGGTTGTTAGCTTTAACTTCCTTATCTAAAGGAAGATGGAAAATACTGTTCATTTCTGTAACCTTATGGAAAAATTATTGACACTCATTTTACCCAAGCCTCTGTTTGAAAAAGAAACTGGACTGCACTAGGGACAATAGTATGTCTTCATAGCTGAAGAGTACTATTCTGTTTTAAATGACAGAACAGCAAAAAGTATAAAAAAAGCATTCACCACCTCTCTTCTTTTGTTTTGTTCTCCCCTCCTCCCACTGAAAGCTCGAGGTTTGGATCATATTGCTGAGAACATTCTGTCATACTTGGATGCCAAATCACTATGTGCTGCTGAACTTGTATGTAAAGAATGGTACCGAGTGACATCAGATGGCATGTTATGGAAGAAGCTCATTGAAAGAATGGTCAGGACAGATTCTCTGTGGAAAGGCCTGGCAGAACGAAGAGGGTGGTGAGCCTTTTAACTTTCTTCCTGTTAAGAGTTTCCACACCTGGCCATTCAGAATCATGGGAAGATTGGTGGGATCGAGTAAGACCACTGATCATTTAATGTGGTTATTTTGCTGATTTGTATGTAACTAAAAAATGTAAAAGAATACTTCATATACTTACCAGTTTTTCTTCTGATGAATCAATCATAAAATGACAGAGTACCATGTTAATAGTGCTTTGCAAAAAAAAAAAAATAATAATAGAAAGCTAACTGCCCCCTGCTTAAAACATTCTGCTCTCTGGGTACAAATTGGTATTCTGCAAAGAGGATAATGGGCAATTTATTAGTCAATTAGATGGCTTTGAAACAGATACACACAATCATATCTAGCTTTTTCCTAATCTAAGACAAATGACTGTTTTCTCCTGAGGATGTTTTTTTCCATGCCTGTGGCATTTTATCACCTTTGTAATCAAAGACTATTTTTATGCCCATCTAGAATAAGAACTGTAACTACCAAAAAGAATGAAAATGATACTTGGTATAAATCATTGTTTCTTCACCTCTCTCTCTCTCTCTCTCTCTCTCTCTCTCTCTCTCTCTCTCTCTCTCTCTCTCTCTCTCTCCCCTCTCCTCTTTTTCTCTCTCCCCCTTTCTTTTCCCCCTCCCTCCAGGGCCTGGCCACTGCCCCTGAGCTTCTTTTTTTTGATAAGGCAAGCACTCTACCACTTGAGCCCACAGTGCCACTTCTAGGTTTTTTTGTTTGTATGGTACTGAGGAATCGAACCCAGAGCTTCATTCATGCTAGCCAAGCCCTCTACTACTAAGCCACATTCCCAGCCTTTTGTTTCTTCTTAAGACTCATATTTTCTTTAGCTCTTCTTGTTGAAATCTGAATTCCCTAAGGTATTATGTAGTTAGCAGCCTAAAAGAGTTCAACAATGTTGGTGTTCTTTTAATATAATGATACTATTTCATTAGGTCTTCTAGAAGATTTTTGTTTGTTTCAAAATGTATAAGAAAGTCTGAAACTAGGTGCAAGGTACACAGTCAGGCAGAAAAAAGCCTGAGAGACTCTTGGGGGGGCAAAGGGGACTTGTACTCAGGCCTGGGCACTGTCCCTGAGCTCTTTTTGCTCAAGGCTAGTATTTATCACTTCCAGCTGTTTTTTGATGGTTAAGTGGAGATAAGACTTTCCTGCCCAGGCAGCCTCCTGAGTAGCTAAGATTATAAGCTTGAGCCATCAGCACCTGGACCAGGAGGCTCTTACTTCCAGTTAACCAGGGGGGGAAATAAAACTGGACTGGAGGTATAGCTCAAGTGGTAGAATGCCATCTGTGCATAAAAGAGCTTAAGGAGAGCTCAAGGCCCTGAGTTCAGGCTTTAGTATCAACGCACACAAGATCAGGTTTGAGTAGATCATAAATAAAGATGACATATTAAGTCTTATATTTGATAGAAAATAAATGGCATAAGTGTGCTCAGTAAAAGCCTTGAAAATTAGTTGTATCAATTATTTATCTTGGATCATAAAGAACTGCAAAACAGTTAAGAATATTAAGATTGCCCCGTATGCTATTGCACACTATAATCCTAGCACGTGGGAGGCAAAGACAGGAGAATCAAGAGTTTAAGTCCAAGCCTGAGTTTTATATATATGCTACAAAATAAAATTCCTCATGGAATTTTTATCAAAATATGATTAGCTGTCTTTTTTTAGTATCTTTGAAATTCATTAGCACATTAAATATAAAGATACCTCACTGTTAAGGGTTTAGCCATTCGGGCTTTCAGAAAGACTTTTTAAACCTTTTATCTCAAAAGGTTAAAGAAACAAAATACAAATAATTTTTTGTCTATATAATTGTAAAAATAAATTCAAATTGCTATTTTTCCCAGATGTCTTTGCTACTTTGTTTCATTATGTAGAAAAATAGAAATTTAATCTTTCATAACTAACTTTGTACTATGGAAATAAACTCCCTTGTAATATACATAGCCAAATACATAAGTATGTAGCTATATGACATTCACAGTTCATCATTTTGCTGAGTGCCAAAAACAGCACTGGCAGTAGAGCAAGGGGGGGCTGGGAAGGTGGCACAGTGGTAGAGTGCTTGCCTTGTATGCTTGAGGCCCTTGGTTCAATTCCTCAGCACCACATAAGCAGAAAAGGCCGGAAGTAGCACTGTGGCTCAAGTGGTAGAATGAATGCTAGCCTTGAGCTGAAGAGCTGAGGGACAGCACCCAGGACCAGAGTTCAGGCCCCACAACCAACAAAAAAAAAAAAAATAGAGCAAGGGGCAGCTGGGAAATTTTTTCTAGCCCTCTAGAAAAAGACAAGGAACTCTCTTCCACACAACTACTGACTGACATTAAAATGCACTGTAAAGAATACAACTTAGCTGTAAAGGTTTGCTCCTTTCTAGTTAGACTGTAAATGACAGTAAATCTACCCCAGACATTGGAAATTTATTAAGTCTTTTCTAGAATGCAAGAAGAACTAGAAATAAGTGGGGTTTGGGCTATGTGAATGTGAAAATACCAAAGGTAAGGTAGACTACAAGTTTGCTTAATAAACTCTACTCTGAGCAGCAAGATCTTTTATATTAGTTACAAAGGCAATAACCACCACTAAAAAAATAAATAAATAAAATAAAAATCTTTAAAGCTTTTGGGTGTTTTTACAGAGAATATAAAGATATATAAATATTTCAGGATTCAGTAATTACCACTCTTTTCCCCTCTTCAACCAAGAAATCCACTATGCTGTTTTTATTATGATTCAGAATTCTGAATTCCCGTCTTTGGCACATTTATCCACTTAACTTGGTATATATTCCCATGAATACACAAATACTTACCTGTCCACTCAGTTTGCTTCCTGTGTTAATTGATCTTCCCTTTTGTTTGTTGATGGGTTTTGTAGATTTTTTTTTAAAAGATAGGCCAGACTGGCCTCAAACTCAGTCCTCCTGTCTCAGCCCCCTGAGTGCTACAATTGCAGGCATGCCTTGGTCTTCTTTCTTAAAATATAAAATTATAATAATTGCAATAATTTATGATGGGCTTCTTGTTTTCTTTTGAAGTCACCTTACTAAGCCTGATGACATCGATAAAATCTATTAGATCTTTCCCCATGTGCTGTTTCTAAAAGTGTTCTTCATTTTTCAACTAGTGATAAATAAGTAAATATAATTGTCCAATAAAGCTTTGAGTTTCTAAGATTTAACTTACCACTTTACTGTTTTATTTTATACCTAGATGGATTTGACAGTCTGCTCCCTAGGGCATGAACTTTGCCACTTTCTCCTTGAATAATATTGAATATGTTTCTCTCTCTTCTCTAATGGTATCTCTTAAAAGTATAATAAAAAACCACTTGGGAAAAGTCCATTTTCTTAATCAGCAGATCACATTTTATTATAACATTCTGAATTTAATATTTCACATTTATCATCTACTCCCACTCTCCTATGTACTTTGCATTTCACATAGAAGTGGTCCCTGTTGTCAAGAGCTTACATTGTAGAAGATTTTTACTGAAAACATAAGTACAGACTGAGAAACAAGTTTTCAATATCTAGCCATCCCTTTTGTAGCACCTTTGATGAAGAAATTCAGATAATCTATTGTCATGATAAAAATATCAGAAGTTCATATGATTTGTTTCCTAATATGAAGAAATCTTAGAGTGCCAGAGATGGAGAGGAAGACAGGAATCAGGAATGATGGCTTTTGACGTAGTTAGGAATGGAGCCTCTGGAGTAGGTCTGTCTACAAGCTTCCCATTTAAAAATCTATTAATTGTCAGGCATTGGTGGCTCATGCCTGTAATCCTAGCTACTCAGGAGGCTGAGATCTGAGGATTGCCGTTTACAGCCAGCCGGGGCCAGAGAGTCTGTAAGATTCTTATCTCCAATTAACTATCAGAAAACCGGAAGTAGCAATGTAGCTCAAAGTGGTAGAATGCTATCTTGAGCAAAAAAGAGCTCAGGGACAGCCCCAAGTTCAAGCCCCACAACCAACAAAAATTAAAATAAAGTCTGTTATTTGAATGTAAAGTGTTCAATAACTTTAAACACTTGCAAAATAAAATACATAGAACTTAGAAATTTTTAAATACTTGAAAACTAAAAAATAGACTGATTGTTCAGTAAGTATGTCTTTCTTTAATCCAGAATTATTGGATAATGTATCTTGTTTGGCCTTTTCTTTATATGAGTATATCATGTTTCATTAATCACCTTTGAAAAAACTGTTATTTTCACTTCACCATTGTAGATTTTCTGTGTGTGTGTGTGTGTGTGTGTGTGTGTGTGTGTGTGTGTGTACACGCACGCACGCATGTGAGGGGGGGGGTACACCCATTGTAGATTTTCTTTTCAAAAATATCACAAAAGTCAGAACACACTAATTTTCAAAGTAGATAATAGGAAGAGGGCAGGGAAGAAGCACTCCTGTAGACATTGAACAATTAATTATATTTTAATGGAGCTGTAGAGGAGGAGTGGATGGTTGGCCCAGAGAAAACATGATTCTCTGGTGCCAGGATTACACTCAGAGGCATTTCTGCCTATCTCCACTTTTCAAGGCACTGTGCCAGTGAGAACAGCAGTTAGTACACCCATAGTGGGGTTTACTAGCTTCCACACCGTGTTTGGTGGGTTCTTAACTTCAGGATGAGGAATTAAATTTTTTACCCAGCAGGAAGTGATTGCCATTTACTGGGGGCTTTTTGGTACCAAAGATCTAGCTTGGGATATGAGTATTCCAGAAATGTGCTGTCATAAGGAAGGAGATCTAACGAATGCAGCTCAGTGGAATCAAGGAAAGGCAATAAATGTATATATGTGTGTACATAGCTGGGAACCTACCTGTGAAAGTCAGTTTTATAGTTTTGATACAGGCTCTTAGGCATTTCTTTTCTTCCATTTCTGCTGCTGGACATTTGTGTAATCCTTCTATTGAAGTGTGCTCAATTGCCCCCTGTAGAAGACTACTATGGAGCTACACTTGTAATCCTAGCTACTCAGGTAGCTCACACTTGTAATCCTAGCTACTCAGGTGGCTGAGATCTGAGGATTGTAGTTTGAAGCCAGTTCGGGCAAGAAAGTCTATGAGACTCTTATCTCCACTGAACTACTCAGAAAAAGCCAGAAGTGGCTCTGGTAGAGTGCTAGCCTTGAGCACAACGGCTGAAGGACAGCGCCTGGGCCCTGAGTTCAAGCCCCAGGACCGGCAAAAAAAAAAAAAAGACTACCACCGTGCTGATCTTTTTTTTTTTTTTTGTCGGTCGTGGAGCTTGAACTCTGGGCCTGGGTGCTGTCCCTCAGCTCTTCAGCTCAAGGCGAGCACTCTACCACTTGAGCTACAGCTACACTTCCGGTTTTCTGGTGGTTTATTGGAGATAGGAGTCTCACAGTCTTTCCTGCCAGGCTGGCTGTAAACTGCAATCCTCAGATCTCAGCCTCCTGAGTAGCTAGGATTATAGGCGTGAGCCACCAGCGCCCGGCTACCATGCTGATCTTAAATGGCCTAAGTGACTGAACAGCCAGCAACACACCTTTACACACCTGATAAACACCTGGAAACTTGATCTCTTTGACAGGCACCTCTACTACCCTCCATGTTCCTCTAACATGGCATAACTTGACTTGTAAAAGACTGGGGCCTGTCCTCATTTAAAACTAATAGGCTGGAGACATAGCTCAATGTTGAGTGTTTACCTAGCATTACCATTACTAACAAAAATTTCAGAAGATAGGCCAGTGGATCTATGCAGAGGTCTAATAGACTAACAGAAAAATTCTGATATACACATGCACTCATGCACTTATACTCTCTGGACATGATAATATCCCAGAAGACCTTATATTCTGCACTATGATTTACCCAAAAGCAAATCACTGTCAGTCAAATTCCTTACAGCCCAGAAAATTACTCCTTCTTGACATGGGACTAGACAGGATAGTATGGATATTAGAAGAAATATAAATGAAACACTGAAGAAATATGAAGCTGCTTGTAAATGTATGATATTACCATTCACTGGAAACATTTTTGCTTTTTAGGGGACAGTATTTATTCAAAAACAAACCCCCTGATGGGAACGCTCCTCCCAACTCTTTTTACAGAGCACTTTATCCTAAAATTATACAAGATATTGAGGTAAGAATCTATGTATTTTTGGATGTTTACCAAATGATAGAGAATCATTAGTATTCTTTAGTTACAGTGTTATTACAGAAAACCATTAGTTTATCGTTGTGGGTTAAAACCAATATCTTTACAAGTGAATAGAATCAGTAATAAATTGCCAGCCAAATTTTGTAAAGCTTTAAGAAAGTTTTTAATGATATATACATAAGATTTCTTCCAATAGCAGTAAGACCATTAAGTTTATACTCCAAAGCTAATATTGTCTTTTGAATTGAGTTTCCCTGGAGTTCCTTGGTAGAAATGGCCACCATTTATGTATAAGGAGAACTAAGTATACAGCCTTACTTAGTACATATATTTTTAGTTAACCTTTAAGTTTACCTTAAGGGTAAGTTCACATTTTTGCACAATGAGCCATGGGTTGCCATTGATGTCACCTAAGAAAGACTTTGCTTCAGATTCTTTCCTCATGAACTACCTATTTTTCTTCTTCTTAGACAATAGAATCTAATTGGAGATGTGGAAGACACAGTTTACAGAGAATCCATTGCCGAAGTGAAACGAGCAAAGGAGTTTACTGTTTACAGTATGATGACCAGAAAATAGTAAGCGGCCTTCGGGACAACACAATCAAGGTGAGGTCTCATTGATTGAGGGGCGCAAGCTAAGGGAGCAATATTGATCATGTTCACAAAACAGCCTGAGCCATAAACTCCAAGCATTTAGAAAATAAAAACTTTATACTGGTGGAAGTACCAAAATCAACATAATTTTCTTTTTTTCTTTTTTTATTGTGAGAATACCGTACAGAGGAGTTACAATTACATGGGCAAGATAGCAAGGACATTTCTTATCAAGCATTGTTGCCTCCTCTTTGTTTCCCCTTCCCATACTCCCCCCTCCCCCCATCAACATAATTTTCTTGAAGGACAGAGTCTGCTTTCTACCAGGATAACACACAAATAGTAGTCCTAGGGTTAAATTCCCTTCTTGAAGTACACTAAGGGGACCATTACTCTTTGGCCCTCATAATTATAGGCTCTCCCTGTACCTTAATGAAAAGGATCAAGTTTGCATTAGAACTGAAGCTGTATATACACAGGTGCTTAACTATATCTGTAGAAAAGAATGCACTCCACTGCCACTCCAGGCTTTCATGCTTTGGGGGAATCAAACACATAAGAGAGCAAACAAGTCTCCACAACACCCCATTATCACAGTGATTAAAAGGATCTTGTTTGCCATTCTAGATCTGGGATAAAAGCACATTGGAATGCAAGCGAATTCTCACAGGCCACACAGGTTCTGTCCTGTGTCTCCAGTATGATGAGAGAGTGATCATAACTGGATCATCGGATTCCACAGTCAGGTAGAAAATTTCAAATGATTTTTTGAATTGTGAACCCTCAGATCTTTGTCATAGATAGTAATTCTATATATAATGCATGAATATAATATTGAAACAAAAGAAGACTTAATCATCAGCTCCCACACACACACCATTTGTTAATCTAGATCAGTAAACTTGATAAAGGAATAATTGAGGTAAGTTCACATTTTTGCACAATAAAGAAACAATTTTATATGTTTTATGGTTTTTCTTTTTTTTGTTTTGTTTTGTTTTTGTGGGTCATGGGCTTGAACTCTGGGCCTGGGCACTGTCCCTGAGCTCTTCAGCTCAAGACTAGCGCTCTACCACTTGAACCACAGTGCCTCTTCCAGTTTTCTGTTGGTTAACTCTGTAGATAAATGTCTCACGGACGTTCCTCCCTGGGCTGGCTTTGAACTGCAATCCTCAGATCTCAGCCTCCTGAGTAGCATGAGCCAACAGTACCCGGCTCTGTTCGTTTGTTTGTTTGTTTGTTTTTATTTTTGCCAGTCCTGGGGCTTGAACTCAAGGCCAGTCCTGGAGCTCCACTTTCACCTTTTTGGTGGTTAATGAGACATAAAAATCACAGATTTTTCCTTCCCCTGGTTGGCTTTGAACCATGATCCTCAGATCACAGCCTCTCAAATAGCTAGGATCTCAGGCATGATCCACTGGGGCTTGGCTTTATATTGTTTTTTTAATTTGGAGAATCGTCCATTATAGAAACTTGCCTTTATGGTAAATCTTGCATTTCTTAACAAACATTACCTCAAAGGGGAAATGACAGGAATGGAGTGAAACCTTCCTGTCAGGTGGTTATAACTTTGGCAGAGGCATGCATTATCTCTTTAAAGTGTGTACAGGTGAGCAGTGCTCTCTCTCTTTGCCAGCTTCTCGAGACTCTGTTATTCCTGCAGTGTATAATTGCATGCTTCACTCAGGGAGGGGCCCTCAATTTCCAGATGCATTCAGTGATTTGATGACACAGCCATTATGCTGCTGGAGTCCAGTGCAGTTCAAATTCTGGGTACTAGCAACACTGCTGGAAACCTCTGTTAGAGGTTTTGCCTTAAGCTAAAGGATTTAGCAAACATAATGCATCAAAAGTAACTTTAAAAAAAAGACAAAAAAAACCCTTTGGATCAAAAAGTAGTTAACTGTGTTAAGTTCTCTGAAGTTAAATGTTTACCATTATAAATTACCCTTTGTGAATAAAAACAGTAACTCCCTAGTTCTTGTCTTTTGACTTTTAAGGCATAGCAAATTTGGTCTTTGCAGTTGTCAACACTGAACATTTATCAGTGTTTATGGAGTACCTCACAGGAGCCGAAGCATTATAAATGCCTGCATCATTTATAGGGTAAGGGGAAAATTATTTTCCCCCCATGGTACTAGGATTGAACCCAGGACCTCACTTAGTCACAACCCAACCTAGAAAATGATATTTTTTTTAAAGGGAAGCAGAAGTAAAACTGGAAGAAGGAAATAAAATGTTATAAAACCAAAATCAATACATAAAAATAGTCAAGATAAAATAAAATGTGTCATGACAATGTAAGTCTGTGATAGAATTTTCTTGGTCCTTACCAGTTCTGGTTCCTAAGAATGAACACTAATGCTATTATTATTAATCAGATTCTTCATTTATAGTGTTTCTCCGTAAACCAGCCTCAACTCTAACTACTCAAAAGGCTTGAGTATTGAAGTCTGAAACCAGCCTGGGCAGGAAAGTTCCCTAAGACTCTTCAATTAACAACAACAACAAAAAAACTTGAGCTTTATGTGGCTCAAGTGGTAGAATGCCAGCCTTGAGAGAAAAAGGTCAGGGACAGTAACTAGGCAGAGGCAAGAGGATTGTGAGATCAGGGCCACTCTGAGTTACCTAGGGAATTTGAAGCCAGCCTGAGTGCATTAACAAAACCCTTGTCTCAGAAAAAAACATACATGGATACATATATACATATATCATACATAAAAATATATATTCTTTTGGGTGTCAAATTGAATGTCACAAGTTTCATTTTGTTTTGTTTTGAAACAGGATCTTAATATATTATCCAAGCTGGTCTAGAACTAACTAATGAAAGTATTTGTCTGGGCCAAATTGTCAGATAATGGTAGCTGCCACTCTCTCCCTGGCCTCCACAGCTTAACTAGATTTTAAGCTTTAAGGATTCTACCCTGACAGCACTCCCATCCCTTTCCTTTTCTTTCTGTTCCTATCTAATCCTCTTTCTGTCTACCACTTCTCTGTGGTCTATCAGATTTCCCCCTCAGTGCTGCAAAAGGAAAGGAATATTACATTTCCCGTGAAAGTACAGGGAGATGGAGAACATCTTGGCTAAATAGAGTTAACATATTGTGTAGTTTGAATACCATCTAACTCTCAGCTATCTCTTCCAGAGTATGGGATGTAAATACAGGTGAAATGCTTAACACGTTGATTCACCATTGTGAAGCAGTTCTGCACTTGCGTTTCAATAATGGTATGATGGTGACCTGCTCCAAAGATCGTTCTATTGCGGTTTGGGATATGGCCTCCCCAACTGACATCACCCTCCGAAGGGTACTGGTTGGACACCGAGCTGCTGTCAACGTTGTAGACTTTGATGACAAGTATATTGTTTCTGCATCTGGGGATAGAACTATAAAGGTAGTAAGAGTTTTCACTAAGTTTCCATCTTGGAATAGGAAGTTTATGTAAAAGTTTGATTAAGGACAACTGCATATTTAAGCGTCACTGTAAAATAGTGTAAAATTAAGTTCAAAGTCTGGTTTGTGTAAAAGGGTGATGAATGTGTGCAACAATTTTGGCTGAAGAAAAATGTTTTAGTTTAATAAAATATACCTGCAAGATCAGATTATCCTCAATAGTAAGTCTCATTGCATCTAGCTCAGATTAGCCCTATACTGCCATTAATTTAATGCTTTTGCTTTGTTCTCTTTGCGAAGTTGACACTGCCAGAGTTGGGGAATGTCCAGCTTGCAGACTATATTAGACCCACCATATTATTTGGTACATGATGGGACAGAAATAAATGCTTCTCATCTACTCCCCATGGCCATCTGCCTGTACTGATAATTTCGTATGGCTCTCAAATTATATAACAAATATCTAAGTGGCCCTGAGCAGAAAAAATTCCCCATCCCTGCTTAGTCCTGTTTCTGCATATCGGACTCCAGTTGCCATAGATTTTGCCGGGTAAAACACCAAATCAACCTCTTAATATCAATTTCTGTCTCAGGTATGGAACACAAGTACATGTGAATTTGTAAGGACCCTAAATGGACACAAACGAGGCATTGCCTGTTTGCAGTACAGAGATAGGCTGGTGGTGAGTGGTTCCTCTGACAACACTATCAGGTGAGCAGCAGGAGCTCTTTCCCCAAAGGGATCACTGTTACCCTCCCATTTGCTATTTGTGCACAGATCCTATGATCTTCAACTACGTTGATAATCAATTTTTTTTTTTCCATTCTGTAGCTTGCAAGCCAAAATTTTCCTTATTCAGACAGGCACAACAACAAAGTCTTTGTGTTTCCTTCCCATAATAGTTTTATCACCCTGTAAATCTATATCCGAGGTACTACTTACGTAAGGAAGACAGCCATATGGAGACACTGAAGGGCTTGTTTTCTTTCTTCCTTTCTTTCAGAGGCGGGTAGGTGATACTGGGATTTGAACTCAGGAGTTGCAAACTAGATGCTTCACTACTAAGTCATACCTCAACCATTTTTCACACTTCCTTCCGGGGCTCACACCTTTATTTATCTACAATAGCTAGGTGACAGCTGTATACCTCCAAACCCAACTGTTGGTTGAGAAAAAGATCTCATAAACTTTTTTTCCCCAGATTGGCCTTAAACAGCAGTCTTCCTGAGCTCAGCCTCCATACAGCTAGAATTTCAGACATGAACCATTGGTACTCTGCCCAGTAACATCTTTTTTACATTTCTTTTGTCTCTACTTGAAAAGTCATAATAAATAAAAGCCTTTTCTCCTACTCACTATTGTTAAAAAGAAAAAGAAAAAAAAGAGTTGTGTCCCTACTTAGAAATTAAGCACTGTTTTCTTCATATTACACAATTGGCCAGAGAATTAATATTCTTTAAGATTTTTTTAATCCATAAATCCCTTCACCATGATGAATATCACAGATTAGAATTTGGTAGATATATCTTAAGCAAAAGCAATAGCCATTGCTGGGCATCAGTGGTTCATGCCTATGATCCTAACTAATCAAGAGGCTAATATATAGAAAATCATGCTTCAGAGTTAGTTGGGGAAGAAAGTCCATGAAACTCTATCCCTAAAATAACCAGCAAAATATGGATTAGAGGCCTGAGTCAAATGGCAGAATGCTAGCCAAGCAGGTATGAAGCCCTGAGTTCAAATCTTAGTACCAGGACAAAAATTTTGAAGCAACTGTTAAGGGCCAGAGGGGCTTAGTAGAAGAGTGTCTGCCTAGTCAGGTCCTGAGTTCACAAACTTCCCTATTGCCAAAAACCAAAGCTGTTATCGTCGCTAAGGAAATTATCATTTCTAGAAAGCACTTCGATTGGTCTGGAAGCATACAGTTTTTTTAAATTATTACAGGAAACTTCTTGAGAATTGGCCTTGCATTTCTGTTATATGAAAACAACTTTCCTGGACAGTGGGTGAAAACAGAGAGTCTTCTGTGGCAGAGATGACGATGTTTTGTGAGGGCCACAAAACCCATACATCTTATTCTCACTGGTGATTTCAGAAAGCATTTTTCTCATGACCTAGTCATTTCTTTTTCAAGCAAGTGTATGCTATAGACTCATTCTTTTCTCTTTTTCTTTTTTTTTTTTGCCAGTCCTGGGGCTTGAACTCAGGGCCAGGGCACTGTCCCTGAGCTTCTCTTGCTCAAGGCTAGTACTCTACCATTTCTGGCTTTTTCTGCTTATGTGATATTGAGGATTAGAACCCAGGGCTTCATGCATGCTAGACAAGCACTCTACCACTAAGCCATATTCTCAGCTATCCTACATATATTTGAACTAAAATCATATGTTTTTCTGCCCAGGTTGTATGGCAAAAAAGGAAATTCTTCTGGAAGCAATATGTATAGTGATTGATTTTATCTTTGTGGATCTTTTTAATGTCTTAGCAAGAATTTATTGTAGAATATGCTTAAGGTACAGAGAAACGGAAAAGAAACATTTTCTGCTCCCCAGAGAGGAAATGAGAGTTAAAAACTCAAAATGGCAGTTTCCATTTGTAGCTTTTGTACTTTTTAAGCTTGGAAAATGTATAATGCCATGTCATCAAGCAGCTCTTAATCTAACTTAGACAATGATTCTAGGTGGGTATGATGGGTGAGGGCCACCCGAAACACAGGTAACCTTCTGGACTTGATATTGTCTTGCATGTCTTGCTCTCTTTTGTCTTTACCTAAACATGAAAAGTTCCCAGATTTTTACCATGTCAAAGGATAAAATGGATTTAGATAGGGCCTTCTATTTCTCTTGGGAAATTCAGCTGAAGTATACAGACTTAACATATTTGCTATACCTGTCACCCAAACATATACTATTTTTGTGGATTATTATTTATTTTATTTATTTTTGGTGGTACCAGGGTTTGAACTTAGAGCCTTGTGCTTGCCAGGCAGGCTCTCTACTACTTGAGCCATGCATCTAGCTCCTTTGAGGATTTTTCATAGTTATATGAAATACATTTAGAAATTAATACATAAAAGTTTGCCTGACTAAATTTTCTCTTTCAGATTATGGGATATAGAATGTGGTGCTTGTTTACGGGTGTTGGAAGGCCATGAAGAATTGGTGCGTTGTATTCGATTTGATAACAAAAGAATAGTCAGTGGCGCCTATGATGGGTGAGTTGCTAACAAAATTTTTTTTTTGGGGGGGGGGGGTCCGGTCGTGGGGCCTGAACTCTGGGCCTGGGTGCTGTCCCTCAGCTCTTCAGCTCAAGGCTAGTGATCTACCACTTGAGCCACAGCACCACTTCTGGCTTTTTTCTTTTTGCTTTTGTGGTGCTGAGGACCTCAGGCATGCAAGGCAAGTGCTCTACCACTGAGCCACCTTCCCAGCCCTTGCTAACAAAATTAAAAATAAAATCTAGCACATACCTGTCATCCCAGCCCTTACTTGGGATGCTGAGGCAAGAGAATTGCTAGTCCCAGACTAGCCTGGGCTATATATAGTAAGATTTTTGGATGGATGGATGGACGGACGGACGGACGGACGGACGGACGGATGGATGGTGGGTGGGTGGACAGTCAGATGGTCGGTAGATGGAAAGAGAAGGGAAGTAGAGAGAGGGAAGAAGTGAAGGGAAAGAGAAGAAGAAGAGGAAGGAGAAAGGAAGAAAGATAGAGAAAGAGAACTGAACTCTGGACAGGTGCCAGTGGCTTACACCTGTAGTCCTAGTTACTCAGAAGGATCAAAGCCAGCCTAGACAGGAAAATCCATGAGACTCCAGTTAACCACCAGAAAACCAGAAGTGGCACTGTGGCCCAAGTGGTAGAGCGCTAGTCTTGAGCTGAAGAGCTGAGGGACAGCGCCTAGGCCCAGAGTTCAAGCCCCATGACCAAAAAAAAAAAAAAGAAAACACTAGAGGGCAATAGTTTTGAGGCTTAGATGAGTAGTAAGATCTTAAATTTTACCTATTTGATTGATGTTTTTTAAGTGATTCTTAATAGTAGGTCTCATCATTTCTTCTAGCATTTCATTTACAATGGGTTCTTTATTTTCTTCGGTTTAATTTCCAGTACTGATAGCACCATTTGTGTTGTCAGTGAATCCCATGTTCAGTGATACTAAATACAAAAGACGTGTAAATGGGACTGGGTACTGGTGCCTCACGCCTATAATCGGAACTACTCAGGAGGCTGAGATCTGAGGATTGTGGTGTAAAGCCAGCCTGGACAGGAATGTCTGAGACTCTTATCTCTAGTTAACCACCAGAAATCCAGAAGTGGCATTGTAGCTCAAGTGGTAAAGCACTCACCTTAAGCTGAAGAGCTCAGGGACAGTGCCCAGGCCCAGAGTTAAAGCCCTACACCGACAAAAAAAAAAAGTACAAAATGTATTACTTATGAAGGACTCTTGTCATTTTTTTTTCTTGTGAAGACACCTTGTGAACTAGATTTTATCATTTGAACTCTATTCTCCATCCATATTTGTGTCCCTAACTTTTTTGCTGTTAGATCCTTGTATTCCCTTTATTTTGCTTTTAACTAAGGCTGTGGTCTTCTTTTTGGTTTTTAGAAAAATTAAAGTCTGGGATCTTATGGCTGCTTTGGACCCCCGTGCTCCTGCAGGGACTCTCTGTCTACGGACCCTTGTGGTATGAGCTCCGTTATTTAAGAGGGTTGGAGAGTGTATATGGGAAGAAGTTGAATGTTGATGTGCTATGGAATATAGACCTGGTTTTTATAGTTAGTATCTCAGAAAATCTATTAAGTTGAAAGGCAACCAGTACATGACAATAAGATACATTTTAGTGCCTTTCATCCAAAAGTGCTTTAGAGACTATATATGGTAAAGAATGTGGCAGCTGTTTAACAGCTGCATGGCAGCTCTCTAACAGTGCAATACAGGAAGTAAATAAGAATTCTGTATCCACTAGAAACAGCAGGAGGTACTAAGGGAGAGATAATATAATTACTCAAATTGGAAACTGTCCAGAATCAGAGGACCTAACACACCTGTGCCTGTTAAATGTGCCGTGGGAATACCCAGGCACCTAGTAGTCAGCCCTTAGTTCAGCATCCCATTCAGAGGATGTTGCCTCCAGCAATCTGAATCCCATCTTTGCTATTCCATGTATATCCCCTTGTCTGAACACTTGAGGAAAGAAGTGAGTCCTAGGAGAAATGTCACCTTCAAAAACACTAAATTCTTTATCATATTGTTAGCCAGATTAACAAATACCACTTCAGTCAAATAGAAAGTGGTGCACCAAACAGTATCTCAAGGAAAATATGAGAACAAACATTTCAAGTCCGTTGTTTTAAATTCTGAATCAACATTTAGGCAGTCTCAGCCCTTCCTTGCTGGGTTTAAAGCACATTATCTCTAGTTGCACACTGGTGGCTCATGCCTATAATGCTAGCTACTTTAGAGGCTGAGATATGAGGGTTTTGGTTGAAAACCAGCAAGGCAGTAAAGTTTGGGACATTCTTAATCTCCAAATAACCAGCAAAAAGCCAGAAATGGAGCTGTAGCTCAACTGGTGGTACAGTGCCAGCCTTGAGCAAAAAAGCCAAGTGGGAACAGGAGGCCCTAAGTTCAGACCACAGTCCTGAGCTCTCTATACTAGTACAAACAAATAAATAAATCACATTATTTCAGTAGCAAACATACTTCATTTGCATGCTTCACACCTGTCTTTATTATATGTGTATGACAGTTTTGGGGCTTGAATTCAGGGCCTGGGTGCTGTCCCTGTGCTTTTTTGATCAAGGCTTAAGCCTTGATCCTTACCACTTAAGCCACAGATCCTTCTAGCTGTTTGGTAGTTAATGTGCTGGGAAGGTGGCTCAGTGGTAGAGTGCTTGCCTCGTATGCATGAGGCCCTGGGTTCCATGCCTCAGCACCACATAAGCAGAGAAAGCTAGAAGTGGTGCTGTGGCTCACTAGCCTTGAGCTGAAGAGCTGAGGGACAGTGCCCAGGCCCAGAGTTCAGGCCCATGACCAGACCCCCGCTACCCCCCCCCCAAAAAAAAGGCTAAAGATATGGCTCAAGTAGTAGAGTTGGAGGCCTGATTTTCCAGTATACCACTTATTATTGCTCACCATCCCTAGGCCTTGAGAAATTTAGAGTTATAGAGAGAATACCACGAAGGTATGAAGGATGCTTTCCCTCTAGTCTAAACCAATGAGAGTTGGCAGTGAGAAACAACTAGCTTACCTTAATAACACCACTTCACTTTGTTCAGCTACCCAGTATTTCACTTTTTTTAAAAAACTTTTTGGGGGGGCCAGTTGTAGGGCTTGAACTCTGGGCCTGGGCGCTGTCCCTGAGCTCTTCAGCTCAAGGCCAGCACTCTACCACTTAAGCCACAGCACCACTTCCAGTTTTCTGGTGGTTTATTAGAGAATCTCACGGACTTCCCTGCCTGGGCTGGCTTTGAACTGCAATCCTCATATCTCAGCTTCCTGAGTAGCTAAGATTACAGGCATGAGCCACTGACGCCCAACAGTTTTTTGAAACCACAAAATAGTGGAGAGAAAGCAACTCACCATAGATAGCCTTTCCATAGGCTCTTCGGAACATGTTGCTGAATTTGTGTGCTTCTTGGTTTTGACTTCCTTGAAATTCTTACCCTTTTTTTTTCTGCGTTTCCAGGAGCATTCAGGAAGAGTTTTCCGACTACAGTTTGATGAATTCCAGATTGTCAGTAGTTCTCATGATGACACAATCCTCATCTGGGACTTTCTGAATGACCCAGCTACCCAAGCTGAACCTCCCCGCTCCCCATCTCGAACATACACCTACATCTCCAGATAAATAACCAAACACTGACCTCATACTTGTCCAGGTATGGAAAGAATTGTGGACATGGCACCATGGGTGGTGATGGAAGGTGTTTCCAGTTCCAGAAAGAAGGTTCCTTATCCTCTGGCCCGTTGTGAGACAGGTGACACAGACGGTGTGAGGCATAGCGGGGCTGCCCCAGGGGACGCTGCCTTCACCAGGCCAGCCAACCCCTATTCTAGAGGATTCTGCGGACTGCTTGTATAGTAGAACTAACCATTCCTTCAAGATGGCATGACAATGAAATGAGACTTGAATCAGTTTGAGATCTAAGTGATAAGCCATAGCCTGAAGTGTCCCTTTAAACCTAGCAGATAATCTAACGTGAATGGAAGTACCTCTTGGTGAAATTTCCAGCTGACATCTCATGGCTCTCCCTCGTCAGTGTCATTGGATATAAAAGGGAGCTTCCTTATCCTCATCCCATCCTCCAGCCCCTTCATAAAAAAGAATACCTGCTTATCTTGACAGTAGCTCTGAAGTTGGTGGGGACTCTGTGTCCTCTCCCTCAGATCTGCAAGCCCTCAGAGAGGATAGGCATATCCTAAAATAGCCAGATCCAACTGTATTAGAGCATGTCCAGATGATACCTGGTGTCCAGCCTCATCAAATTCATAAGGTGAATGAGGATTTGGGAACTATGGCATCCACTAGTAGGGAACATCACGATCCTTAGGATTCTTACGATCGGAATACACATTCACTAAGCTTCTGCAGAGTGATTGTGAAGCTGGCCTCTGCTCAATTCCTCTGATCTCACCAGACCCAAAGAATGAGATGATGGGAGCAGAAGGCACCACGCAGGCCTACCTCTCTCTGAGAGTACTGTGTTGGAAAATTCTTGGTGTCTAGCACATAATAAGCCCTTGGCCATTGTTATAGATCATCATGTTACCTATCCATTCTTTGCCTATGTTTCCTTTTATTTAGAGACGTTGAGGTTTTGATGTTTACTAGATATTGGACCTGGGGCCTTGTATGCTTTACAAGTGACCTACACCCCAGTTTCAATTTGTACTATTTATTCTTCCTGTTTATGTCTCCTTTCTCCTCTCATTGCTACAACACAGACATCCCCTAAAAGTCTGTCTCTGGCATTTCTGTCTAAGCTCCCTTCTTTGTCGGCCTTGTCTTTTCCCAAGACGTTAGCTTTAATCTCTAGCCACTTTAATTTCTAGCTACCCCCTACTCATTTGTCCTTGAAAGTGCCAGGAGCACTGCCAGTGCCCCCACACACAGTTCCTCTAGTCAGACCCTGGCCAGCTTCTCCTATCTGCCTACCGTTGGCAGTGATGCCACTGTGCTCCTGCCCCTCTGGCTTTCCTAGCTGCTACACACTAACCCAGCCCGTGGGTCACCCTCAAGACATCTCTGCTTGAGCACAAGTGCCCTTTGTGTGTGGCCCCAGTCAAGCCAGGTAGCCTCGGGCAGAAGCTCCGGCACCCCCATGGCCAGCCTTTTTCCCAATTGGCTGAGCACTTTTTTCTTCTCGTTGAGTAAGTGAGGAAATACAGGAAAAAGGACTAATGGACTTCACTCTGTTTGCACACAGGACTCATTAAAACTTGCAGTATTTAACATATCTGCCAAGACCAGGATGAGCAACAACAGCAACAAACAAACTCCTACCCGGTTTCCCCGGACCAGCGAGGAGCAGGGCTTTGAGACTCCTGTTGGGACCCAGTTGGTCTGCAGCAGATCAGGATGGTCTGCTCAGCATAGCCGACTGCTTCAGTGCTGCTATCAGAAGATGTCTTCTATCTTGAGTGAATGATTGGAACTTTTAACCCTCCCCTCTTCTCTCCTCCTCCTTCCCCTTTGCACCTGTTTCTCCCTCACTGAGTTCCAGACAAAAGATGACTTATAAATATATTTAGTGTTTTGCCAGAATCTCTCTTGCTTTACCATTAAGCAGAAGAACTACTTTCCCCATATGGCCCACTTCCAGGGGACTGGGGAGAGCAGCAGCTTCCAGGCAAATAGCCCGTGATTCCCCCTTCCCCCCCATTAACTACAGGAGTGACTGGCAACTGGCCAGAGCAGCTCAGGCCACTTTGTGGGGCTCCCTGTACCACCCTGGGGAGAAAGGGAGAAAGAGAGGGAAAAGGAAAGCACATACTGGAAGACCTAGCCTGCTGCCTCCCTCAACTGTTTCTGTCCTTCCCTGTTCCCCTCAACCCTACATCAACCTGGGAAGCTGTGAAGAGAGTGTCCTTCAGCTTGCATGAGGTGGATCTGCTATAAAAAGTGACACTTGGAAGAGTCAAGTGTGTTCAGTCATGATTTCAAGCCCAGGTTTTTGTTGTAAGTGACTCTGTGGCAGCAGTGGATTTGCAGACATGACACTCTCATCATATCTGCCAGTCTTCCCTTGCCCTTCTTCCTCCTGCCTAGGGGGATGGGGGAAGGGGACAGAAATGGCCTGGGCATCTCCTCCGGACTCAGCAGTCTCCTTGATTCCATGTAGAGTGTGGAAGGGAGCTGCTGATTGCATTTCCTCTCATTAACAATTAGATGTGTAATAAAAAGCATTGTGCTTCATCTTCAATCACTGGCAAGGCTTGGCCTACAGAAAGGCTTGAAATAGCCAGAGCCCGTGGCTCAGTGCATTCTTATCGTGGCTCTTATCTCCATGTCCTCATCTGAGCCGGTAAGAGCCCAGACCTCAAGTGGAATAGCTTAACAAATGGTTGGGAAAGCAAGCTGATTCTTTTTCGTCTAGGTCAGTAAATGTCATCTCTTAGAAGTCAGTCTAACCATCCCAGCATTGTATTGCAGAACCTTCCTTCTGCTTCTCCCAAACTCAGTATTTGCAAAAAGGCAAAGCTACCAGAGAGAGTACCAGGGTGAAGTTTGGCACACAGGGTTTACTAATAGGGCAGACACTGCCTTCTCTTTCCTTTTCTTCTTCCTCCTGGCCTTATTTTTACTTTCCACTTTCCCCAACCAATAAAATTTCATTGACAATTGGCAAACAATGTAAGCAAATGGACCTGCCCAAGAGCCAGGCTGCCCTGGCCACTTGGAAGGTAGCTGTGTGGGCTTTCTCGCCAGCGGGCTCCAGGTGCAAGGGCATACGTGCCACACCAGCCTGGAGCACTGTGACTGCATACGCAGCTTGTCTCCCTGGGCATAAGTGGGCCTGCCGAGCAGTGACTGGGCACACCCTCAAATTCTGAGGCTGCAGTGCAGTCTCCCAGGTCCTTTGGTAGCTGAGCTGTCAGACCCATTGTTCTCTTAATCTACACAGCTGAGTTTAAGAAAGCTACTTTTTAGCCAGTTGCTATAAAACAGAAGAATGGGAGCCTGTTAAAAGTAGCCTACAGCCAGAGACCACCTTTTTAGTTCATCTGAGGGGAGAGCAAGGCATCACTGGTCTGCAAGGTGTTCCCTTCATAAAATACATCTAGGCCATGTTGCATATTGAGGGTCAGTTTTCCTTCCCTGCTTTATGAGTACTTGTATGCTTTTAGTCTCAAGTTACATTTAGAAAATATTTCCCAGTGTAATGATACACTGTTGCCTGGGAAGTATTTTCTCAGTATAATTCCCTTTCTGACTTTCCCACTACCCAAATGCTACAGAGAATTGTTTTCTACTTAGCCACTATCAGGCTTCCTTGTTTCTTGTGTTGACTATTAATAGCTCTTTGATTGGTTAAGGACTCTGCAGCAGATATCAGCCCTAAAAAACATATAGGTCAGACATGAAAAGGCATGGGTTTCAAGCTGTTTCAAATACTGTCTGATAGCCATAACTAGTAGCCCTTCTGTTATATGCTGCTATTCTAAAGTGGGAGCAGGGCTAGGGATACAGCTCAATAGTAGAACACTTACCTGGCTGTGTGACGCCCTAATTCAGTCCCTAGCGTTGCAAAAAATTACAATAAAGTGGGAGCTGTTGAATATTCACTGGTGCCCAGGATTTTGCTCTCCCATCTAGGCTCAGCTCAAAGTATACTATCCCTAAGCCAGTGGTGAAGCTCATCCAGCCCACTGGACGAGCTCAGGGATGGACCCTGCAGATAGGGAGCCAGTAGCTTCGCTGAGATTGCTCTCCCAAGTTGTCCCTCTGTTTCTGCTGGAAATGGGAATGAAGTTAAGTGGTCTGAAAAACTTGAATCGTTCGCATTTCTCAGCTCTGGGGGTCATTTACCAGTTGATTGTAGAAGAAATAATCAGGTAAGTAGAAGTTCATTTCCAAAGAAGGTAAACCGCACTTACCATCTCTGCATGATTTCAGTGGGAATTGATTATCACGAATCCCCAACTGGGCTAGAATAAATGTAAAGTTTGACCTTTTTAAAAAGAAGAAACAAAGTCTCAATGCATTTAAAGGAATGTTAGAAAAGGAGCTGAAGTGTCTGTTGGCTCTGAAATGAAGCGTCCTCTTATGAGATGAGTCTCTTCTCACTAAAGTCCACTTTTCAATGTAGGGCCTGAGAGACACCTTTCCCAAGATGGGCTGAAAACCCTTTAAGCAGGTGTGGCATGTGTACACATGGCTGCACCTGCTGGCACATGTGTGACCTCTCAGTTCACACTAAACTGCTTGCACAAGACCAGCATGCCTTGCGCCTGTGTGCATGTCACTGCTGAAAGCATCCTTTTACTCTCTTAAGTGCAGTTTGAAAGTAGATGTGAATTATGGATGGGGGAGGCCTTTTAACACTTACTCCTTGACTAAGTTGTTTCTGATTTGTCCTAACTATGGAGACATAACTCTTGACAAGTAATAAAGTCTGGCCCTCAACTTGTTTCTGAACTGGAAAAGTCACTGAGACTCCTAGATCATTCAAAAAAAAAAAAAGTGTGTGTGTGTGTGTGTGTGTGTGTGTGTGTGTGTGTGTGTTTACTATCTAAAGCTGCAGAGAAGAACTAGGCACTCATCCCTTGCCATCTTTCCTTACTATTGTTTGAACAGCTGCCATTGGTCTGCTGCTTATTTTGTGTGTGTGTGTGTGTGTGTGTGTAGAAAAAGGTTTGGGGTAAGAAGTGAGTGAAGAATATTGGAAATAATTGGGGCTATCATTTTCCTTCCTAGAATTGGGATACCTCAATATTATTGACCTTAGCATCTTCCTTTTGCCTTAGATGGTAACACCTTCCAGCTCAGAAGTAGAAGCAGTCCAACCCAGAACAGTGCTGCAGCCCTGAGGGTTAGACTGAAGTAAGTAATCCAGGGTACTTGCAGATAAACATCTGATCCCTGAGACTGTCATGTTTTTTGGTGATGAGGTTTACTGTATAATTTTAATCCACATTGCCGATCTCTTTATCTTCTTGGGTAAATTGAACAGACTAGGACACAACCCACTGGGTTCATCTCCCGGGACCTCATCCCACATATCTGATCACTGACAGTCCAGAACCCCCAGTCTTAGTCAGTACCAGAAAGACTGCCATCTCAGGGGAATAAAAGTGAGCTTTGCTTCTGGTTATTTTTCACCATTTTATTTCACTTTTGATATCAGAATCCTTAGTGCTGAGGAGATAAACCAAAACAGTATGAGCATGGCTGCCTGCTTTTGGGTAGAACTACTACATTGATGACTAGAAACTCCTGTTGGAAGTCCAGTGCCTATGATCTAAAATTTTCCGGAGGCAAGAGACTTCTAAAATATGTGCTCTTCAGTCAGCCTAGCTGACTTAACCCCTGATTGGTTTTGTGTGTGTCTGTGTGTGTGCACGCGTGTGTTTCACTTACCTCCTAAAGCTTCCTATTCTTGAACACTGAAGGAAAAGACCAACCAGGAGGTCAGACTCCTGTGTACCAAGGAAACCAACATTTTCCCAAAACAGTGACCACTCAAACCCAGCCTGACTCATGTGAGGGGTGTTCAGTGGACTCCACTGGTAGAAAAGGGCCTGCCAACACGTGAGCGTCCCCTGAGAGCTTTCAGCTGGTTCAGCTCTTCATTCTCTAGATTCTTAATACTGACTGCTTTGACTTCTGTGATTATGTTATGGTGATGTGTAGTCATTGTATCAATATGTTCATAACCTAGGATCATGGTAATAGAGTGTGTGTTTGTTTTTTTTAACTGTTCAGAAAAAAAGTAACTTAAATTACAAATATAAGATTAAAGTGAACTTTTTAAGTGTCTTGTCTCTTTGACCCAGCATATCTGACGTGAATGATGGGAAGAAATGCATGGTTCCTGACATGCACGTCATGTTTTATAAGTTTTCCTCTGCATTCCTATCACAGATGAGCGAGCTCACCTTCAGAAGTGTTATCTGAGGTAGTGCAGGCTGAGTTGAGGGAGTGGCCCCTCTGCTCCCCCTAAACCATGTCAGGAGTTGGGCACCACTTCCTGCCCACTCTGGTATCACAAGCGGGGCTCTTGTGGGTCCATGCTTACACCTCTGGGCTTTTCATAATAGACTTGACCAGGCTCCCTGTCTTCCATGAGCCCACGGGCCTGGACCTCATCTTACCTGGACTGACTAAGGTAGTCCAGGCTGTGGTCACTATGGGGCTCTGTGCAGAACTCCTAGTAAAGCTGGGGAAATGTCCGTTAGATAAACCCAACCTTTTACAGGTGGTGAACAGGAGAAAAGGGATCCACATTCACAACCCCCCTGGTGTCTGTTCCCTGTCAGTGGGAGGGGATGGGCAGTCAAGACAACAGCCATTTTGGGGTCACCAACACCTGTTACTTTGGCGTGACCCTACGAATTCCTGATGGAGGGTAGGCCTCGCTGAAAACCCAGTGCTGGCCTGCCTCAGGGATGGGGGTCCCAGGTGTACCTGAAGACAGCCCTTCAGCTACCCTTCCTGATGCTGAGCTGGACTTGGGGTCCCTCTCCCCCTTAATTCTGTGGCTGTGGTGCCATCAGCAATGACTGGGGAAGGGACCTCCCTTCCTCCTGATTGGTTCTTGCCAATTAAGAGCATTTTATTAGGCTGCTAATTAAAGGCGCTCGGTTAGCAGCAGGAAAAGCTGGGTGGTGGCTGGTGAGATGGAGCTGAAGCTGGGAGAAATTGTTTTCCTCCCCCCATGGAAGCTGAGGCCTCTTGGTCTCCCAACCTCTCCCGCTGCGCCTACCACACCCCTTGCTTTCAATTAGCAGCTCTGAGGGGAGTGAGGTCATTAGGAGCCCAGGTCCAGAGCCCTCACCACAGGCAGCCCTGAGGGGCCTGTTCAGGTTCCCAGGCACCTCACTGCCCCCCAGAGCTTTGAGAGAGTACAATCAATCATATACCTAGAGTGGGGTTATGAAGTTGGTGCTCATGGGTTTACCTGTTTGATTTTTGTTTTGTCTTTTTATGGTGCTGGAGATGGAACCCAGAGCCTTTTACCACCTCCCCCCTCCAGCCCTTGAGCATTGATGGTTTATGGATCCCCAGAGACTAGTCCTTAGATTTGAGGCACTTCCCGTGGGTAGCCAAGCCCCTCCTGCTGGAGCGGAGAACCCGACTGAGGCTGGCACACAGGGTTACCAAGGACACCCTTTCTCCAGCGCCGCCCTCACCCACTCACTTAACTGCAGAATTAGCACCATCCCAGGCTGGAAGGGCAGATTTATAGCTAGGCCTGCCTCCCTCCATTTAACCCGAGGCCGGCCTGGGCTCCAGACACTAAATTAGATTTTTGACAATTAGAGAGACTAATGGGCACACAGCCATCCCCAGAGCCAGATATCCAGCAAGGCAGGCCTGTAATATCCATCGCTGGCCAGCCGCCCTCCCCCCAGCTGCCCCTCCTCACTCTCCCGTGGGTGGCGATCTCCCTCCCTCCGAGCTCTGTATCTTCCGGGCACTCAATGGCACCCTCATCCCCCGTCCCTCTCTCCTTCCAGCCCCTGGCCCAACGCCAGATCGCCCTTCTTGCCCTATCTTGCTTGTCCTTCAGCTTCTTTCTTGCCTCTTTATATCGCTGCCTTCCTCGGAGCTCTTCCATCTGTAAACTCTCCAGCTGCTCAGAGCAGATTGCAAGCCCTTTGCAGGCAGGGGCTGTGCCCCTGCGTTCAGCACCCAATGATGCTTACTAAGTGTTGTTTCCTGAGATTCTGCTTCCTTTCTTCTCAGTCTCTAGGTCCCTGGCACCCCCATCCTTTGGACTCTGGCAGGGGTCTGGCTCAGGCTTAGCACTGCTCTGATTTGGGCTGGGGTCCCCCCCCTTGCTGCAGCCCCTCAGCTCCGGCCGGTCTTGGGCTGGGTGGGTAATGAGATTGCAGTTAAGTGGCATTGGGGGGAACTGCTCACACTCACTCAGGCAGACTCATAGCTCTGTCAGGCTGATTGGTCCTGAGTGGAGGCACAAACGGCCCCCCACGGACTCGCTGAGATTGGTTATAAAATTACAAGCATTTGTTCTGCTGTCAGTAGCCTTCCCTCCCTCCCTCTCTGCCTGCCTTCCCGACTCCCCACCATTCCCCACCCACCCTGACTCCCCCGGGGCCAGTCCATATACCCTGAAGGACCTGGCCAGGGGCCACCACAGCAAATGGAGCCATGAAGCAGAGGCCACGAAACTTCCTATTAGGGCAGGCCTTTGTGCCAGAACACCTGACCCTGTGCTCTGTTCTTGGTGAGTAAGAGGGGCCAGGGGCCCAGGTAAACAGTCAGGCCTTGGAGCCCTCAGGAGAAGAAACAGCACCCCAAGTGTCAAGACTCTCTGGGGTCATCAGTATCCATAGCTGAGGAGGCCAGAGAGTAAGGGGTGGCTACACCTTCCTGATAAAGGAAGGAGCAGAAGAAACATCTTGCTAAGGAAAGCCCATCTTGTCTGCCTGCCAGTGGTTGGTCATTTGTCTGTATCCTGATGCCCAGAAAAGGGCACACCAGCCCCCAGGACAGTCCCCTACCCCATCCTGTCCTGGTCTCTGAAGTCTAAACCTAACCAAAAGCTAACATGGCCTGTGCCTTGTTATGTGTATAGAGTAAGTTCCCAGCCTAGCCCCTGCACCCATCTGCCTCCTTGGCAAGGGCCTGGTTTACCTGCAAGCAGGTGTGCCCAGAAATCCTACTTTGTACTGTTTCACTGGCAGAGATGTTCACTCCTAACCCACCCTGCTGCTCACCCCAAACGCCAGCAGCCCAGTCTCAGCCAGGCCTCACGACTGCCTTCCTGCCCTTCCTTCACCTCAGGCCCATCCCTGGTCCTTCACTCCCCCCCCCCAACTCCTGTCTCAGTCCTTCTTGTCTGGAGACATAGAGTTCCTTGCAACTAGCTTGGGGTGCTCAGGGGTGGGCTCCCCAGCTCTGAAGAGCAGCATCTCTTGGCCACTAGTCACAAGGTGCCTTCTACCTCTGTCATTCTCATCCCAGAATGTATTTGCTGCGATTATATCTTTAATTAGGGTGGTGACGGCTCATTGTCCACCAACAATGATGGATCGGATTCTCCTCTTTGCCATCCTCCCTCTATCTAGACCTCTCCTCTGCCTCCCTCCCTCCCCCCCCCCCCACCACCACCCAGGTCAACTCTCCTCTGGCTTTAGGGATGGGAAGATTCAAGAACCAGCAGTCTTCCCACTGCAACCCAGGCACAATGGCCTGGAGCTGCCTAGAGCTCCAACTCATGGGTGTTGATGTCTTCTCAGATCCCTAAGCTAGACCTGAAACCACTACCTATATCACCTGCAGAAAGGGTGCAGGTCTCCTAGCGGCCACCAGATGTCTCCTTGGTCCAAGCTGGCCAGACTCCCATTCCCACATAGACACCCTGACCCCAGCATCACTGTGCCCATTCATACCCCATTACCCTCCCTAGATGGGTCCCTGGACCATACACCTGCCAAGCATAGAAAGTCTCACAATTCCCAAATGGCTGCACAAACCCAAGTGGCCCAGCTCTCCTCTGAATTACCAGGATCTCCAACCAAGGCAGGGGCCTACACTCC